TTAGGTGCTCAGGCATAAAACTGTGCCGCTCAAACACTATACTTTTCCGCTCACCCTGAAAAAAAATTAGAGGGAACATTGCCTGTAATCTCTTAAATTGGGGTAGGATGACTAGATGTAGCTGAGCGTTTACTGGCCGGATGCCCTTCCTGACACCACACGGAGTTCATAAGAGATATTTTGTATCCTGCCCTAGAAGAGAAACATCTGCCCCTACCTAGGATTGAACACTCAACCTTCCGAGTGGGAAGCAAGTGTCTTCATTGCTAGGCCACTATGCCACCTACCATATAGTCTGTAAAATCCTGGGAATGGTAAACAGAAGTACTCAAAACTGAAAATGGTGATCTCTATTTGCAAACTCCTAATATTTTTAACTGAACAAATAGTTACATGGTAGCAGTGCTGTATTGGGAGCTAGCTTTTCCCAGAGCAGGAGAGTGAAGATTCTAAATAAGCAAGTATCACTTACACCAGAGTATGGGAGTTTATAGTCACTCTGTAAAAAATGTAGAAAAAGTAAGTTTTGAATCTAAGAGAATATAAGATCATCCTAGAAGATATTAATTGCTCATAACGGATTCAGTTTTAGATTTTAATAAAAAGTCCATCTATTCTAAGCCCTGCTGTGTTGAGTTCCTGAAAAGCTTTTCCATACGTCATGCGCAATTCTTTTCCCATTAGCTACTGTTGCTTTGAAATCTTACTTGCCATATTATTAAAATTCAAAAATTTAAAAATCCAAGATACATTTTTGCCTATATTCAGCTTTGGTTTCTTTCAAAATCAAGAATAAAAAAATTAACACATCATTTCAATCAGCAAATATTGCCTCTATTTCCATGTTATCTACTATCTCTATTAGTATCAAAGATAGCCATTTCTCTTCTGCATCCCCTTACCATCTCCAGGAAAAAGTTTTCAGCAATCAAATTATGAATCTCCTAAAGGATCAGACTTGGAAGTATTTGCTTTCCAATCAATGCCAGGTAATTAAAGTGACTACTTGATATATTAGGAAGCAAGAATAAATACTACTTTGACATGGACTCTGGGTATATCTGTTATAGACCCATGATCAGCTGGCTGCATAATTAGTGCCCCAAGGCCTCTTATGCTCAGTAACATTGCCCTGGAATCTGCCAACCTGCAATCATGTTGCTTGGTGGCTGTTACTTTTGAGATGATGGCAGGCTGTTTTTTAATGGATTTTTTTAAAAAAAAAAACAAAAGATAAAAGTGAACACAAACTCATCAAAAGTAAGGAGGAAAAAAGAAATAAAAGAAAAAGCAAAAATAAAGATTAAAAATACTAAAGAAACAATAAAGAGGTGACTTCTGATATTCTTCAAGGTTATAAGTAAAACATATTTTAACCTCTCTCTGTAAATCACATCATACTACTCTTCTTTCTCGAGCTGGTGCTGGGCTTTATAAGCAGGAATAGCAAGGAAGTTAAGGTTCAGCTACAGAAAATGAGCCAAGAGTTGGGACTACCTCTTCCATGGGGAAGATGGAGGGCAGTGATCAGAAAGACCAGATCTGATTGCTCTACTCTATAAGGATCTTTGCCAGCAGGGAATAGAAAAGACCAATTAAGCAAGATATCTTTTAAGTCAAAGGAAAGAAAGGATAATACCAGGCAAGAAGAGATAAGAAAAAGACCAAAACAAGGAAAGATCTCTAGTCATAAAAGAGAGATGAAAAAGGAAAGCAGGATAGATTTCTAAATTTAATCATCCTAGACATGCTTTAAAAAAAGCTATACATCAGCCCAATAATAAAACTAAACATTGATGTATTAGTTAATGAAAAATACTGTA